CTTGGGGATGCCTGGGGTTCTTAAGTTGAATCTGTATGTAAGTCAGAACTGGCGTCCAGATTCAGCCGCTGCTGAAACTGATCAGTTTCAGCAGTGGCTGAATCTGGACGCCAGTTCCGACTTACATAGAGATTCAACTTAAGAACAAACCTACAGTCCCTATCTTGTACGTAACCCGGGGACTGCCTGTATTCCAGTAGGATTTTGCACCACTGCATGTGCACATATTTCATGGGCCATGCATTATGGAAAAGTTGCTGCAGTTCTGCTTTTTAAACTGATCAGTTTCAGCAGTGGCTGAATCTGGACGCCAGTTCCGACTTACATAGAGATTCAACTTAAGAACAAACCTACAGTCCCTATCTTGTACGTAACCCGGGGACTGCCTGTATTCCAGTAGGATTTTGCACCACTGCATGTGCACATATTTCATGGGCCATGCATTATGGAAAAGTTGCTGCAGTTCTGCTTTTTGCCCACTAGAAGGAACTGTGGCATTAGAACATAGCAGCTGCTTCTTGCCAGCCCAAGTTATCATGGGGAAAAGTCTGCAGCGCCTTCTTCATTATGCCTGTCGGCAAGGTCAGGAGACAGGGGTATATAGAGACAGCATGGGGCAGCCGGTGGAGGTGTGGGGGAGGGCAAGAGGGGTTTCAGACAAATTCATAAGGGCTAGGGGGAAAGGAGTTCCACAGGCCAACTGTCAGGTGTGTGAAGAAAAACTTCCTTTTGTTTGTTTTTAAACTGCTACCTATTAATTTCATTTGGTGACCCTTAGTTTTTATGGAGCTTCCGGGGGTAGCCGAGTTAGTCTGTTACAGAAAAAACAACAAATGGTCTGGTAGTACTTTATAGACTAACAAAACATGTAGATGGTATCATGAGCTTTTGTGGGCATAGCCCACTTCTTCAGATGGCCGGAGTTATGAGTTTGGGATGTGAACACTAGAAATAAATAGGAGGGGGGAAGGGGGGGGGGGGGGGAGAAAGAGGGCAATGTACGGCAACATGAGCAGAGGAGATGGGGTGCAGAGCTACAGGGGAAAAAACTGAATGGCTGAATGGGGGCACAGAGACATATGGCACAGATGATGCAGGGACATGAGGGAAGTGATGACACGTGGACAGAAGGTGCAAGGACTCATGGAGATAGGGGCAGACGTGCCTGACAATGGAAGAGGCTAGAGATCAGCCAGTATCTGCCTGGAGAGTGCTTCCTAACAATCTCTCCCTGCTCTCCCTCTCCCTCCTCCCCCCCAAACAAAAACCAAAACCCTTGTTCCATACTTTTCCCCACCCATACCCCACAACCTTTTAAGTTCTTACCCAGGCTCTTTCCCAGCAATTACTTCCCTCTCCCTCAGTTCCTCCATTAACCCTGACTCCCCCAAACCTTTGCATTTCCTCTGAGGGATGCAGGAAATATAGTCTTATATAAATGTAGTTTAAGCGATTTACTCAGCATTCTGTATTCATATGTCTAATAAGGGATCTAGTTGTCAAAAAAAGTTTCCCAAATCTTTAATGTTTGTATTGTTACACATGTACTTTGATAGGTATTTTGAAATAAATTGCCAAAATAAAACTGATGTGATTATATTGTTTTATTTTGACCAAATATGCAGAATGAAAACATGGGGTGTAGAATTTTTAAATGTTTGGCACAGAATTCTTCCAGGAGGAATCCATGTAGAACTACACCAAGGAGCCAAAGGGCTCAAATCAGTGAGAGATGAACCTCCTTGTTTGGGCCATTAGTAGGGATATTAAATTGCATTTAAACAGCTAATCAAGTAGTCGATGAGTTTCCATCAACTACTCGATGGGGAGGAAGGGGAGAGAGAATTGCAGAGCTGCTGCGGGGTTGCTCCCAGCCCAGGAAGCTAACTCCATTTAAAAGGCAGAGCTGCAGCGGAGTATGAGCTGCCCAGTTCTTACTCCATTTAAAAGCCAGAGGCTCAGCAGGGGACCCAGGAATCAGCTGATTCCCGGCTCATGCCCATCTCCCTTTGCACCTCTGTCGCCCCTGCTCCCAACCACCCTGCAGACATAGTTCAGGGGGAAACCGGCTTTTAAGGCAGCTCCTGCTCCACCCCGATAGAGGCAGCAGGGGGGAGAGATTAGTTGTGTAGTGACTCAACTACCCGACAAACATGTTTATTGGGCAGTCGACTACTCAATTAGTCTCTTACTCTCTAGTTAATGGCTAGGAATGTAACTCAAACTGTCTACAAGATATTCAAAGGAGTAGTGGTATTAGTCTAACTGAAAAAACTTAAACAACACAATCAACCACATTAAAAAATTGCAAGACTACAAGCCATAGTTGTAACATAGTTTGGTCAATTTCATCAGCAGTAAATGATGCTATAAATACAGTTGGGCCCCCTACTATAGTAAAGCATACTGCTCAAAAGTTTTAATGGAATTTGTCAGGCTAACAATGCTGTTTTGACAAAATGGTAAGGCAAACCCCATATCATTTAAATGAACCGTGTTTATCTAAGTTGCCAAGGAGTGTTACATCACCTCTTTTACATTGAAAGAGAGACAAGCATCAGATAAGATACCTAACAGAGAAAGCTTTAAATCTTGAAAGTTAAAGAAAATGAGGGCCTCCCACTCGACCACTATGGAAACGGTCACCAACTTCAGGATCTGGCTCTCTCTTTGTCCTGGCTTATACAGAAATCAAATTGGGAGAAAAGTTATCTTGCACAGCCTACCCCAAAATATTTCAGAGCTCAGATTTTTAAGGACTAACTGCATCAGTTAAAAAAAAAAATAAAAAAATGCAGGATTAAGGGAAGACAGATACTATGAAATACTGCAGATTGCTTAGTGGGAGGTTCTCAATTATAATATTCAATGAGGTGTATTTTAAATTAAATTACCTTTCGCTTTTCATCATCTGGATATGTCCAGTAAGAGATGCAGTTTCCAGAAAGCACACACCAGCGCCGATGCCAAGCCCCAAATCCACTAACATCTTCAAACATTGTCTAAAAAGAATTAAAAAACCTGCATGACTTGACACACTTATTTTATCCTTGTTTAAACTATGTTGGTTAATCATACTGATATAACAACTTTATATCAACCATTGTGTTCAGGGTTTTTTCCTGGTTTTTTTTTTTTTTTTTTTTTTTAAGGGGATGGGAAGGGAGCATACCACTTTACACAAATCAAGTATACTAATATCATTATAGTCAAGGCTGTAATAAATCAGAAGCTAGAACTTGCCTATAGACAAAGAACAGATTGTCAAAGTACTGTCCCTCAAGACAATGACAGCCAGATTTTTCTGCATTTAGGAACCAGAGGATAGGATTGGCCACCAACAGCACTTAGAATTCATTATACTTTGTGAGACATTTCCACACACCCTGCATTCCTTCCCCTCAATATTAAACCATTCTTTGTCTTTCCATAATATATAATTCTTGCCTAGTGCTTTACACAAGATCCAATTCACTGCTAAAAGCTGGCATTTGTAAGGACCATGATTTGACACCAAATTGCCTTCCACAGACCTCACGCCTATTAATATAATAAGCTTTTTTGTGTAAAAAGGCTCGATATGCAAATTGAGATTTTTTTATTTTGTAGATGCATCTGCAATCTAGACATTACTCCTAGGTTTAGAGTGCTGCTACCTCCAATATTTTAAAAAAAATAAAAAAGCAATTAAGTTTATAAACATTCATTTTGTAAAAACTAACATTTTATCTTCAAGCACTGAATTGCAAGCATCTTGAGTGTTAGCTTGAAGAGCGGCTTTCAACTTTGTGGTCCATGGACATCTGGGGGAATGAGGTGTAGAGGATACAAAGCTACTCAAGATTGTTAATTCTGAAAGTGACTGCAGAAAGTTACAAAGCGACCTCACAAACTGGGCAACTTGGCAAAAAATAGCAGATGAAATTCAATGTTGATAAATGCCAACGTCATGCGCATTGGAAAACAATCCAACTATAAATATTAAATGATGGGATCTAAATTAGCTGTTAGCACTTTCTCCAGAACAGTCATGATTTTATAGACCTCAATTATCTCCCTCCCCCCCCACTTAATCTTCTCTGTTCCAAGCTGAAGTCCCAGTCTTACTCCTCACTCCAAATATGGAAGCTATTCCATACCCCTAATAATTTACAATAAGGGCATACAATGGATTTATAGGAAATATATTTACTGTCTTGCTATGTTTCGTAATGATTCCCACTATTGTTAGCTCTTGACTGTCAATGCATGTTGAGTGGATGTTTTCAGAGAACTATCCACAATGACTACAAAATTCCTTTCCTGCATGCGATTTACTCCTTTTCATAAACTCAAGAACTAAGGGTCACCAAATGAAATGAATAGGAAGCAGATTTAAAATAAAAAGTATTTCTTCACAAAACAGTCAACCTGTAGAACTCTTTGCCAGAGGATTCCCTGAACACCAAGACTATCACGGAATTTTTAAAAAACTGCAAATTCATGGAGGAAAGATCCATCACTGGCTATTTAGCCAGAATGAATGGGCAGGGATAGAGTTCCTAGCCCTTCTTTGACAGAAGAATGGGCAACAGGGGCTGGCTCACTAGATGGTTACTTATTCCCTCTGAAGCACCTGGTATTTGCCACTGTTGGAAGACAAGATACTGGACTAGGCTACATCCCTATATTTCTTTAGTTTCTGCAGACCATTTACTGCTCTTGGCAAGATTGGCAGGTTTTCCTGTGTTATATTATTTACCTTTTCCTAAGCAATTCAGGAAGCAACACAATTAAACAGTACAGGAAGCCAGTGTAAAGTAGTCTGCTCTAAAAGGCTTTTAAGATTATAGTAAAAACCAAAATATGGTTTGTGCTTAGCAGAGTATGGCAGTCCATTTTTAAATGCATGAAAATAGAAGTTTAATGTTGACCCAAAAGAGACTGTTAAGAAAAATGGAGGCTTAGATATCAAAGTATGCAGCAGTTTGCAGATCAAGATAACGAAGGGGATTCCAAGAAATAAAATTGGGAACTTATATCTATATAGACAGGAAAGGAAGACAGATTTTGACTCTGAATTAACCAAATTATAGTAGACACTTATGTTTCACAATGGCATTTTTCCAGCACATTTAGTGCCATCTGCTGGATACAAATGTAATAATGCATTTCACTAGGCTGGAATGACAGCTACATTGAATAAACCAACGCCAGGTTAAGATTTGGTTTTACAGATATTGATTTTAAACACATTTTGGATATCGGATTACATAATAATATTTGCATATCGGATTACATAATATTTGCTTTTAAAAGGTCACAGAGTCCTAGTTGTCACAACAAAGAAGTGTGTATGTGAGGGGGGTGTCTAGTAACAGCTGTAGAATCTCACCCTATGCCTGTCAAACTAGCCATATTAGTTCCATCAAAGGGAGGTGGATGAAAGGACAATTACAATAAAACAAAACATCTGGCCACTAGGAATATTAGACAGTGATTAATTGAATAATTGTGTAACTGAATCAAGTGTTAGCGATTACATGATTATTCGATAGTCCCTAGGGTCAGGACTGGCAGCCAGTGTGCTTCCAGCCCTACTCTGGCAGGAGGGAGGGAGAGTCTGCCACCTTGAGCTGCTGGCTCTGTATCAGCTCCCCCTGGTCAGGAGGTGCACTAGTATCCCAGGGAGGA